GAACAGTCCATATTTTGGCTTAGTCTGCCCATTATGGATGTCTGTAGTGTTAAAAGTGTAAAGTAATCTACATATTTCTTATGGTATTGATTAACCTTTGTGTATTTTTGTTCTACCAATAAAGTTTAATTTGGAATAATTGTAGCCTTTAAAAAAGATTGCCTCCTGCAGCTTTGCTGCTTCTAAAAAGCTTTTATATTTCTGTGTCTGTAGTCCATAGAAAGGAAGACACCTATGTCAATTTACAACATGCAAAGTAACATTGTATTCAGTCTTCTCTCAAAACAGCTTCATCTCAATCAAGATGCTCTGAGGACTGGAGATACCGGTTGCTGTCTTATCTTAAGGTGTTTTCAAATTATTTAACACCTAAGATGCTCCCAGGACACCCATTCACATTCATTTTTAAGTTCTCTACTGCACTGAGCATAGAAGAGATGCATTGAGAAACATTAGACGCTGGTGATAGGCTGAAAGCGTCCGCTATCACTGGCCACCCTTTTCGAGAAACTGTAAGTAGTGTATATTGGCGTTTAAAATTTCCACTTACCTGTAGCCTTGGGCAAGTAAAAATTTAGCGCTGGTGAGTTTTCCATGATCTATTCAAGCTTGCAGTGACTATTTTTTTTGATCGGTGCTTTACATTTTTTGAATGGTACTATGCTCAAATAATCATGGGGAGTGGATTGAACCTGACTGGCTATGTATTCTCCATAATGAGTGGCTTATGACCCTTCCAATTCCATGCCAACAATTTTTCATTCCACACCTGGATCTTGGTCAATACCCTTTATCTGAACAATCTAGCTTAGGTTTGGCAAATCCACGCCTTTTTAATTACTAAACTGAATATGTCAATAATGACATATTAATATTCACTTAACTGAGAATTGCCATTTTGGCCTAAATTTTGAAATTAACTTTGAATTCCCAGGAATTCTCACTTTAATGAATAGCCCTGTCTGAGACAGAGACCTACCTACATTACTTGGTACATGTGGAAGAATGCAAGGCTGTGTTTATATGTAGTGTTGGCTTTTAGTTTCAAACTTTTTTTATTATCTTGTGTCAGTCAGAATCAACAAAAATATGAGTAAAAACAACACATATTAATTTAGCCAAATAGAAGATGATACCTTATCAGTGAATATAGCATTTTATGCTGAGAAAAATATCACAATAAAAGTAAAAATAAAATAAAATGCTCTCTTTCGCCCTTTATACATAATAAAACAAGGTTGACAATATATTTAGTCCTAACATATTTGGAGAATCATAGGGGGATATCAACCAGGTTTGTTCATGTCCTTTTTCCCTTTCTCTCCTTTCCCCCTTTTTCTCTTTTACCTCCTCTTTTCTCCCTTTTCCCTTTTATTTAAGTAGGTTGATAGGTTTCTGCTATGGGGGGTTGGCCCACTAATACTTTAGCAGGGCCAGTGCAAGGATTTCTGCCGCCCTAGGCAAAGATCCATTTTGGTGCACCCTGCCAGACACACACATTCACTGACAGATACACACTCACTCACTGACACACATACACTCACTCACTGACACAGACACTCACTGACAGACACACTTACACACACAGACACTCACTGACAGACAGACATATACTCACTCACTGACAGACACTCACTGACAGACATACACTCACTCACTGACAGACACACACAGACACTCACTGACAGACAGAGAGACACACATACTCATACACACACACAGACACTGGCATACATTCACTCACTCACTGACAGACATACACACAGGCAGACACTCACTCACTGACAGACACACACACACTGACAGTCAAACAAACACACACTCACTGACACACACAGGCAGACACTCATTGACAGACATACATACACACACATATACACTCACTGACAGACAGACATACACTCACTCACTGACAGACAGACAGACACACACTCACACACAGACACTCACTGACATATATACATACACTCACTCACTGACAGACACAAACACACACACTCACTGACAGACACACACACAGACACTCACTGACATATATACATACACTCACTCACTGACAGACACAAACACAAGTAGACACTCACTGACAGACACACACACACTGTCCGTCAAACACTCACACACACAGGCAAACACTCACTGACAGACAGACACTCACTGACATACATACACTCACTCACTGACAGACACACACACAGGCAGACACTCACTGACAGACACACACACACACACACTGACAGTTACTCACTCACACACACAGGCAGACACTGACAGACAGACACACACACAGGCAGACACTCACTGACAGTAAAACACTCACACACTCACTGATACACACATACAGGTAGACACTCACTGACATACATACACTCAGACACTGACAGACACATACACAGGCAGACCTTGACAGACACAAACACACTGACAGTCAAGCACACACACTCACTGACACACACAGGCAGACACTCACTGACAGACAGACACACACACACACTCATTGACAGTCAAACACTTACCTCCCTGGGGTCCAGTGTGGGGCAGCTCCTCACTCCTCCCACCTGCTGTTTAGCATTCCGGGGCCGAAATGACGTCATATTCCGGCTCCCGGCATCACAGAGGGCGCACGAGGGAGGAGTGAGAGGCTGCAAGAACAGCCTCCCTCCCCGCCTTGCTTCTTCTTCCCCCCCTCCGTCACTGGCATTTGTTGGCAGAGCAAGCACCTGCCATCAAGGTAAGCAGGTGCCTGCTCTGCCTTACCTAGCACAGCTTTGGAGGACCCCTGAGGTGGCCAGATGGCCAACTCCTGTCCCCCCTGTAACAGAGCTCCCCAGCTTCGGGCACCTTGAGAATCGGCCCAGCGCTGCGGCCACAGACAGGGGCAGGCAGCCCACCAGGAAACATCCCGGTGGGCGCCCTCAGCAGGCCGGCACCCTAGGCTATTGTCTTTAAAATATAGGATATCCATACTGATGCTTGTATTGAATGCAGCAAAGTCACTTGTTCCTGCCATCTGGAAAGGCCCGCAAGCCCCCACTGAATGTCAATGGCTGTCTATGATTAAAGAAATGGACTTTGAAGCATTGATAGCATCCTTATATAATAACAGTACCAAACATTCTGAACAATGGTATGCCTGGAATACTTATTTGTCTAGAGGGAATGAATAATCTGGAATTGGGGGCGGTTCCTGGATCACTGGGATACTCTAGCCCAGGGTGAGCTGAGTCCTTCTGTACAGCATATCTGATGGTGCCTTTACTCTCTCTTTCCTAGGTTCTTCTCAATCTCTTCTCAAATTTACACTGTTAAGTGCATCTGTAACGAACCTCATGTACCCAAGATGTTAGAGGCTTAGTGATTATAGCCCGTTCGCATAGTACGCTGATTCGTACTTTTCCGAAATCCAAGCTGGTCATGAAAATAAATCAATCAGTTTGTCGTTCGCATACCTCAACATCAGTCGAGACTTGATAAAGGGTACATCAGGAATGGTTTATTATGGCCAGGTGGCCCACTTATATACAGAGACCACCAGCATGGGGTTTGCAGCAAGGACATAGTAGAACACTCCCACAACATGCCCAAAACACGCCCAAGACACTCCCAGGCGTCTCTGTGTCTGGGAGATAAGTTTGTGTACTTTACTTAAAATAATTATTTCCCAGGCACTAGAGGTAAAAATCATAAAACATAAAATACCCCAAAATACATATAGGAGTCCCCACAAATATTATATCCCCAAAAAGCCTGGATCTGAGCGCCCAAGTTGTCCAAGTAGCGCTTAGATCCCACGAACACAGCCGAATCGCCACAGGGGTAAGGTTTTGACCGATCGCACATGTTGCGTCTGTCCAAATTAGTTCTAGAGACATAGTGGTAGCGGTCGGTCACTTTCTGGAGTTCCATACGAACAAGCAGATGAATGGTTCCCCTGGGTCATAGGTAGCAATCCTACCATACAGCGTTCTCCTGGCTTGTCATGGAAAGAAGCAGACGTTCATATGAGTCAAGTGCCCGACTTATAGTTCCAAACACTCGATGACCAAGTCCAGCTGCCTGCTTTCGTGCAACAAGATGGCCGCCGTTTTCTCCAGCAGGTGTTGTTCGATTATATGAACGGCGGCCACACAAAGAGAGCACTTTAGTTTGTGGTTTATTTGAAGTTAATGAGCCGGGGGGTGAGGAGGTGGTCAGTGTTCGTTAGATCCAGCTACCGAACGCATGGAAATTAACTTGGTGAATAAAATACAGAGCTTTTGTCCTAGCATCATATGGAATGGAACTCTAATGAGGCCTGAAGGCTAAATTATCTTATCTACTAACGTTATCTTGAAATAATCATGTGTAAAGCTAATCTAATCTATACTTATATGTTCTTGGAGTATTATCATGCCTAATTTTTCTCTCTCTCTTGTTGATCAGTTCTGTACTTTTCAAAATAAAATGTAAATATCTTGGGGGCGGGGCCTGACAGCCAAGATGGCCAGACGTGTTTGTTAACAGCTCTTGAACAACTGAGTTTAATCAAAGCTTTTACTACTCAAATCGACTAAAACTCAGAGTGGAGTAGATGGTGGATTGATCTTGCAATGAGTGGGCACTCGTGGGTGTCCTTTCTACTCCTCTGCACCGAGGAAATCCACTGTTCCGAACATGCAGCCTAGCGTGACTAGCAGCCTGGAGACGAGAGGAGGCGGCCGCTCTCCCAGCGCAGGGCTCGCTTTGCTCGATGGTTTGTCTGCTGCCCTGCAACCCCCCCCTATGGATCGCTGGGGAAATGTACCTCTCTCACACAACAAGATCCCTCGCTGAAACGCCAACCACGTGGTACACAAAACATGGCCGCTGCTCCTCATCGTCAGCAACACCAGGACTGTACCGCTGTGCTACAATGGAGAGAAAGTTTTGAAGTGCGCTTTGATGCTCTTTGCGAAAAGTTTTGGAGGTGCACTTACCACCGACCATCCATACCTGCTGTGTCCGTTAGGCTGAAGGCAGCAATGACTACTCAACCTCACCTCAGGCCAGGGTCCCAACCGAAGAAATCCACGAGCAGTCGACCAGGCATGCAGAAAGCCCCCCGACCAGCGGAGCGCAATCAGACCCGCTCTCACACAGCACAGAGGCAGAGAGCCCAAGACCGCGTGGGTACAGATCAACCTGCAATTCGGGCGCTGCGGGGTGGAGACCCCTTGTACAGCAGACCTTACACAGCACTGTGGCATGTGGCCTGGCTGAGGCAGTGGTACAGCATCGACCCAATACTATATGCCGTCGGCTTTCCAACATTAGGGATCGGATGAGAGGGGACTCATGCAAGATGGTGGCAAACAAATCTCCTATGATTGCCAGATCCAATCTTGCTCTGATATTTTTCCTTTGCTTTTGGCCTGTTGCCTTTTGATATGTTACTTAATTGCTTTTATATTGAGTCGTCATGCTAGGCACAGCTGTGTTTTTACAGCAGTGGGATGCGGTGACCAGGGATAGCGGGTTATGCCATGGTGGATGTACCTATTTTATAGCCTATCTGATATATCATGCTAAATACACTTCCCGCAATTCCCCCAGCCTTATAGGGATCTCTGTATGGCCAACACTCATGCTACTTTAACTAACGGAGCCTGGTTATTACTGTTTATCTTACTCTTACGACTCTCGAACGCAGCGCTCAGCTTGCCGACAATTAACCCCTACGAAGCAATGATAGTAGCAGAACTACCCATCCTAGCGTGGCCCATCAGCGCATAGGCCGAATGACTCATTTTTCATGTAGCCTCCAGAGCAGCAATGCCATCTCTTTCCAAAGATTGAAGAGGGGTGTCCCCAGTGTTTTCACAGTCTGTTGAATACTGTTGCGATTAGTTTTTCCCATTCACCCCAGAGTCTAGATAGATTCTCATACTCTGACAGTAAATACCACAATCTAGATCTAGACCATTTCACTAAGCCTTGTTTACTAAGCATGTTCCTAATCTTGTCATTATTCCTTAAATAATGTGCACATGTTTTGCTCACTGCCTTGCTGCATGTAAACCATGTATCTTGACTCTCTGTCAATTGCCGTTGGGGCATGACAAACTAGTATGGAATTTTCTGCACAACAAAATAAAGAATAAAAAAAAAAAACAATTAAAATATATTTAAATAGCTTTAAAAAAAAAGATTATAATAAACAAATACCCCACAGAATTCCAGGCAGGTTAATAGTTTGGGCGCCCCCTTCATTATACACATTACATTGGCTAATGGGCCAAGCAAATTCATGGTTCTTTGAGCTCTGTCCAACCCCTGCTTCCTAGGATTAGGGTTAATCCTGCTCTGTTTGAGAGCTCAAGATTCTGAAAATGGTGGTAAAATGTATATATTTGCAGATATAGTAAACACAATTACCTTACAGAAATCAAGCATGTGTACTATATAGGTCATTGTTAACTGCACATAAAGCCTGTAGTAGTGCAAAAAGCTTTTCCTTCCCTCTTGTCTGTTAGTATACAACAATATACCTTTTAGCTTTATAGGATCCTGCAAAATACACACTAGGGAATGGCATTTACAGTCTGCCTCTGCACAATGCAGAGAGACTGATTGGGCCCTGTTGGAAAAATGTGAAGCCAGAGGTAAGTGAGGGTTTATTTAAAATATTTGGTTTTATATTTAATTTCAGTGTGCAAATAAATTAAGCCTTTATGCTCACAAGGTTAGGAAAGATTACCATCATGATCAAACTATTTTTCAATTTAAATTCCACTGTCTTGTGTTTACTTCTTTTAGGCATGCAATTCTATTTTGTAGTCTCTCATGTTCCCTTTTAAAGTTTGATTATTGGTTCAAAATTAATGAAATTTGATGATCTATGTAGTAAGCAAGCTTTTCTTTATTTCTTCAAATTGCAATGTCAGTTAAAAATTATCTACATTTTCCATTATGTCTTTTGATCATTATTATAATAGTTTGTGGTGGTATGTTATGAATTTAAATATCATCAAAGTAAAGGGCACAGTGGTGGTGCTTGTCAAGGTTTGTTGCTTTGGGGCAAATTAATAAAGTCTGTCTAAACACAAAATTAGGATGGATATTCAGTGATCTAAATTCCTTTGCTGATGAGTGCCTGTATGCTTACATTGTAATATAAAACATGACAAAATTGCAATTACAGAGAGTGGATAGATATCCAAAAGCATAAATCTTTAGAATGATCCAAAGAAAATGGTCATGTTTCATTTGGATCTTTTTCTATCCCACTGTGTTAATTATACCAATACCCTATACTTGTTTCTTGAAATATCCTGAGATGTGTATTTTTCAGAATTATTTATACTCTTATTCTCTTTACAACATATATACGTTGAATACACCTATTTGTAAAAATAAAAGTTGTTGCATATACTATCAGGCTTACTTATTAAACTGAGAACTCAGAGTGCCATCCAAGTGAATTTCAAATTTAAGGAAATAAAAGCTTGACTGGAAATATTCTCTAAGTCAGACATGCTTCCAGTTCCACTAATGGTGCCTTAAATTTGAAATTAACTTTGAATTCTAATTTTAGTGTAAAATAACCCTGTATATATAATATGGCAAGACATATATGTATAAGGCCTTTAGTGGAATGGGAACCAAAATTTTCTTATATCATACATTATTATTTATTTTTTAAACTCACAGATGTACTACTATTTCCAATTATGGCACAGATTATTTTCTGTGATATATTGTATTTTAATTAATAACTTCTATATAGCATAGAACATTGAAATTACAGATCACAAATAGAATCGATAGACAGATCTGATTGCAAGCTCCTTTGACCAAGGACCTTATCCATTCTTACCGTTTGTTACTGTGGGGTTTATTAACTAAACATCAAATGGTAGTGAATTAAAAACTGAATTAAAAACTGAATCTTAATTATTTTAGTCTGAATGTTGTAAATCACTTTTAAATTCATTACTAATCACTGTTTACTGAATAACATCTGTATGTCTAAACTTCTGCCAACAATAATAATATAATAATAATTGTTATGCTGTCTTTTTGCCCCTAAAGAGACTCAGTGCTCTTTAGTGTACACTCTCTTCATTGTAACACATTTTCACTTGGATAATAGTTGTTACTGATTTCATCAACCATTGGAAGGGTGTGTGACTGACATGGTTATTACCAAAGCATGAATTGTTGGGAATTCAAGATAAATGTAAAATTCAATGCCAAAATAGGTGATCTGGAAACATTATCCAATTCTTTTTTTCTCTCTTTTTTGGGGCCTAGACTTCCCTTAGCTATTTTAGACATGGACATTGTAAACTCTCTGTTTAGTAAATAACATAAACATAAAGCAATTTCTTCGTTAAATGTGGAATTTTAGGGCAAAACCAAATTACTAAAATTTAGGCCAAAAGGGATGATTTCTAAAAATATTCACAGCTCGGCTATTTTAGCCTAAATTTTAAAAACAAAATCTCTTTTTAAATCGCTTTAACTCAGCTTTCAGTAAATAATGTCCGAAATTAATTTCGCTATCACCTAAAATAATGTCATCTAACTAAAAAAATGAACTATTTTTGTGTGGCTATAATTCAGATACCTCTTTGCAACATCTTAAACCCCCATGACCCTACCATTCTACATACATACATTTTATAACTTTTTTTTTTTTTTTTGTTAAACAGAAAAAAATATCTATTTTTTTGCGTGTATTGCAAGGTTAAATATTTCCAGGCATTTAAATGAAATGTAGGTTTCTAGACCAGATCATATGTAAAAGATTTGCATAAAATGAAATACTTGTAGATTTGGTGTCATGTGTTATTAATAAGCAGCTACATATAGAGTTTACCGTGTACAGTACACAGCCTTGCTTGTGTTACCAATAAAATGTTTGGCTTTTTTTTTTTGTTTCTTTTTTTGCATTGAAAGTATGAGCTCCCTTAAAGAGAGAGAATTATGCCAGGCCCTATAATGTAAACCCAACATACTTATTAAACCACATGTGCAAGCGCTGCAGTGTAGGAGACAGAGAGCCAAAGCGTAGACATATTAAACATTCTGTATTACTCGACTTCCAGCTGTACATGAACATTCTGTTTATATTTTCATTACATAGATCCCACTAAAGATATTTATTTAACCGTTTGAGTGACAGAGGGGAAAACACTCTAATTGTTAAAGCACACTATATATTGTAAAAGTGATGTGAAAAAAATGGTTTACACTCCTTGGCTGTGTGGCCCATTAGTGGCAGGAACATATTTTTACAATATGCTAATTAACAACTACAATGGAGAATAATTAATGTGTGTATGTTGCCATATGACAATGTCAAAAGTGGAGACTGAGCCAGCATTAAAATGGATCACTATTTTTTATTACATTTGTTTGTGATTGTGCGCGTGTGTGTGTGTGTGTGTGTGTGTGTGTGTGTGTGTGTGTGTGTGTGTGTGTGTGTGTGTGTGTGTGTGTGTGTGTGTGTGTGTGTGTGTGTGTGTGTGTGTGTGTGTGTGTGTGTGTGTATTCATCCACTAAACTCATTCACTAAACAGCTATTTCAAGTCTCCCAGAATGTAATAGTTTTTTTTTTTTTAAAAACACCTCACCTGGGCAAAATATAATGGGGGTTTTGTTACAGTTTATGATTATATATTTCATAAGCCTGCCACAATGCCTATGCACCCCATTTTGTGGCAGGCTTATGCAATGTATGATGTAAAAGCCCCAATTTCCCCTTACATTGACATGATTCTGAGCCAGCACTCCAGTGTTAATTAATAAAATGTATTCTGTTAATTAAAGGAAAAACCCACATACTTTCTTAACAATATTCATGCATTGACTATAGGCAGAGAACTTTTTACTAACCTTTTGTGGAACTAATCATAGAAAAAAATTAGCAGTCCCAGAGTTAACTTGGCCACCCTGGGTACAATCCCATATTAAAAATACAGATACTCCTTGCTAGGGTGTTTGAAGTGTGACATGCCAGTTTGTCAATCTGTGTCTATTGTATATTTCATAGAAAATGTTTTAAATACTGGTAATAGTGTGTGCATTATTATACATTTATAATAAATTATACATTGATAATAATACATTTATAATAAATAATACATTTATAATAAATAATACATTGATAATAATACATTGATAATACATTTATAATAAATAATACATTGATAATAATACATTTATAATAAATACATTGATAATAATACATTTATAATACATTTATAATAAATAATACATTGATAATACATTTATAATACATTTATAATAAATAATACATTGATAATAATACATTTACAAT